GCTATTTTTCGTTATTATGAAACAATGGGATACTATAATGATAGTTTTTATTTGTAAGATGCAAGAAGAGGTAGTAAAGTTTGTATATGACATATTTTGCTTTCAGAAGGTCACAACTAGCGATTTTATGATCGCTGATTGCTCGTTCATCGTTACAGCTGATCGCTGTTGTGACCCTCTGAAAGCTAAATTGACATATTTTATGTGTCATACACACACTTTACCTTCTGTTCTTACATCTTGTAAATAAGAATTCCCAACAACAAACAATTTGAGCTGATTAAAAGCCGAATAAGCTATTTTTTAGCTGTAGAAACATAATTTTGCCTGAATAAGCTCTTATTCAACTGTCAACGGAAAAGTCTTAGTATTCCTTCATCTGTTTTGAATATATATCTTGGTAATTAAAAAAGCTTATCTTGTGTCGATTCGAAGTTTAGCTGCAGTGATATTAAAAGTAACTGGTTGCAGTTGAGTACGATGGTAGCCATATATTTATTCCTTTGATACAAATATTAATTAAATCAAATAACTTGTAAAATGCAAATTATGAGCTGGGAATCAAAAAATGAAAAAAAAAATTAAAATCCTTTCCACCATCTAATCATTAAGAATGTCGAATCGGATGGAGTATCAGCATAGTATTCTACGCGTCCGATGAATCAACGACACCAAATCTATATTTAAGTTCGAACTTTTGTGAAAGTTATTTCTAAAGTCAAGTATTAATGTGAATTGATTTATCAGAATTAGTAGTAGAATTAGAGCTGTTTGAAGAATTAAACCCAGTCCTTCTGCGTGAGAGCCCCAGCACAAACCGTTGCGTCATCTGAGATATATTAAATTGAGCTGTTGTCCCGCCTACTGTTGGAGTTTTCAGTGCCAGCTGACTAACTTGATGAATTTTAAGTTGGTGTTTGCCCGCATGGTATTGCAATACACTTGTGGCGCAGTGGTTAGCAATTGTAGATCGCATGCCCGAATACACGGGTTCGAATCCAGGAAATTACTGTAAGTAAAAAATATATTATTTTATTAAATTTCATTGAGGTTTGCGTTTCTCTACCATCAAACCATAGAGGTAACTCTAAGACAAGTAGGTCCCGAAGAAACGTGCTCAACTTTTTGGCTCAGCTCTGGTACTATCCCAACTAACATTTTCAGCTTTGTAAGCCAACTTTTCCAGCGTTGTGCTGTAAAGTAGCTGAAAAGAAGCTGTAGATACAGCTACAAGCAAAAGCTAGCAAAATAGTTTTGGAGAGCGTTTACTCAACTTTCTCACAACCATTATTCAATTTGTCAGTCATACTGAATAACATCAGCCAACGCTAATGTCACTTCTATACACACACTAATCAACTTTCAACTTGTAGCTGCAAAACAAAGTTAACAAAGTGAATATATTACTCATTTGATGGCTTCTACACAACCAACCACTCTTGCTGAATAACATAAACATCAAAATTGCTTTTTCAACAACTAAACAACCTGTACTCAGCTTATAAACTGTGTTAGAGCAACTTCGGAAGCATTTTCACAGTCAACTAGGTTTATTTTTAGACGTGTGCAGTTTCACAGCTTTTACTCTGCTCTTTTGTAACTAGTCGAGAAAAGTGATTCATGTGCACTATTATAAAGCCTCTACTCAGCGATTTTGTTGTAGAAGGGAATGTTGATTTGTTTACACAAGTTCAAAGTGTTGGCGTAGCACAGTTGGTAGTGTCAAGGTTTGCCAATGAGGTCGTCTCGAGTTCGATTCCAGGTTCCGGTGCAGGGTAAATAATTTGGTGATGATTTGTAACTAATTTCGATTAATTTGATTCACAGCTAAAATAAACTCAATAAATTCCTTCATAAAAAAGCGTAAACAGTATTTAACCCGGCTTCAAGAGAAAGCTGTGTAGTGATTATTGGATAACCGGGAAAAGCTTGAATAAGCGCCTTTCAAGTTCACACACAACTAAACAGCAGGATAACAGCTGTATAGAAGCGTTAATGGATATGCAATAAGAGCTTCTCCCGACCGTTCCAACAGCCATAAGTAGCTGACTAAGTTCGCCAGATTTGCTTGTATAGAGGTTGAGTAAAGGTTTCCTCATATCGTATCCAGCTTTCCATGCTCGGTAATGGCGGCCTGTTTGTATGAATAAATGTATCCTTTACTGTGCTTTTTGACACTAACTGGAGGGCGTATGTTGTTCCATTTTCTTCTGTTCCTGCGAGAGTGAAATGGAAGGGGTTGAAATTCGAACATCCAGATAGTGTCAAAAAGCACAGTGAAGGATACATTTATTCATACAAACAGGCCGCCATTACCGAGCATGGAAAACTGGATAACGTTTGAATACAGCTTGAGACTGTATTAATGAAATGAGTAAAGCGTTTACATTGTGAAAATTGTTAGTTGGGATATTCGGTCCCAAGCTAATCGATTCACCCCTCGAAATATAGGAAAATCCACTAACCCCTCATTTTATCTGGGAAACTTTCATAGCGAATCAAAACAAACATTGTGTAGTACTAGAATTTATACTAGAATGTTAATTGTTTGCTTGGGACCAGTCAAGGCTAGTCAAGTAGTGAGCCAATTTAAAATCGATAGTTTAGTATTGATTATTGATCATACCTTGATGATTTTCTGAATAAAACAGACAACTTTACTACATTTAAGTAAAATTGTTTCGTACTTTTCGAGGCTACAGAAAACTTCTGCGGAAAACAAAACAAGCTGTCAAATGTCAAACGGTGAAAGTTCACAATAAGTTCCGTATGAACTTTTTAGTGACTTTCAAGTTAAGATAGGGTTCCATGAACTAATCAGAGACTTTGAAGTTCAAAAACAGACGAGAAAATAGGTCTTACGGAACTTGGCTACTCTGAAAACCATTTTTATGAATGAAATCAACACATCGAGTAAAATAATATGATATTCCACTTCGTTCACATAGAGCAATGGTATGTATCTCGGTTTCACAGGGGAGGACTCGAGTTCGAGACTTGCGGTAAGTAATTTAAAAACATGTAATTTAAATTAAATATTCGACCATATTTCAAACATTTAACTTCCGACGACGCAGCAGCTCATAATAAATTAGAAGAATTAGAAGGTAAGCAGCATTTCCCCTATATTTGTTTTCTATTTTGGTTTGATGATTTCATTCAAGTTTTCTTTTTGGGCTGAATAGCATTCCCTCCAACGGTTAAACGAACCATTTGTGAACTTTCAAGTTCTCTTTAAAAGTGAAACAGCATTCTGTTAGAAGCTTAAGGTGATACTCTAAGGAAGCCTTAGCGTGAAACTTCAAAGGCACAAATGTCAGCTTCCACAAAACATGCAAATTTGAAATTGCTACTCTCTGTTTGTAGTAGCACAGCAAACAAAGAGTAGCAATTTCAAATTTGTATGTTTTGTGGAAACTGACATATGTGCCTTTGAAGTATCACGCTAAGGTTTCCTTAGAGTATCACCTTAAGCATCGAATGTGAACTTGGAAGTACGGTTAATTACTTAAAAAGTAAGCTGAACAGAATTCTCTTCATAATCCTGCGATTAGCTGATTAAGCCAAAAAAGGGCTTTTATCCGTTGGTTGCTTGGGAATAGTCACCTCATGTGAGGTGACTCCCCGTGCAAATCAGAGTTGAAAATAATAGATAAGAAAGTAAAATTGATACTTACCCTTGGTATTTTTGAACGAAAGGTGTTGCGTACCATCTACGGTGAAGTACAAATGCAAGGAGGAGGTGAATGAACCGTGAATTGTACCAGCTGTAGGCCGGACCACCTATCGTCTACATTGCAAAAACTGGTCGACTACAGTGAGCTGAGCACGACGTAAGAATGTCCAACGATAGCCCGGTGAACATGGTTCTCGATAACAACGCGACTCAAAAGCGCCAGTCGCGTTGTTATCGAGAACCAAAGTTCAAAGTTTATATGGATTTTTTGATCAAAATGTATTTTAAAATTACTTACTCTTTCGGCCATTGAATTGGTTCATTATACTCAATTTTGCTAAGAATTTCAGAGCTTGCAACTCAAACAATAAGAAACAACTTCAAACTGCATTACGACTCAAGTGAGTGCTTTAGAGATATTTGCATTTGAATGTATCAATGTATGTACATATTGTGTTAGAACACAACTTTCTCAGGTCAACTAATTTCATATTTCAAACTTAAATCAATAAAATTTTACCAACTGAATTAACGCATTTTGATTTTCAGTGGTTTTAGGTTTGGTTCATAAAATTGGATTATGACATCGATTCTCAACGTTCTCCACCATGAGATCAAGCTCGTTCTACAGCGCGCTTTTAAATGTGCTTTCATTGAACTTGAGAATCGATTGATTTAAGGTTCTAAATCTGGCACGTAACTATGCCTTTGTTGCGTCATAAAAACGTGAACGCTTACACGTCTGATGAATGATACACGCTCTCTAGATAGCGTCAACGTCTGAAAATTCTACGATAAGATAAACATCTGTTCATTGAAGGGGTTTCATAATCTTCGCCGAGCCATAGTGACAATCATAGACTCACTTCCAGAAAAAAAAAGTATAAGTCAAAGTCACAATCCGCATATCAGTCACGTGTTTTGCGTGTTTCTGTCTGTTACTCAGCTGCTTGTCGGTTGTGTATGAAATATTTTCCTTATCAAGCTTACGAGTATTCATTCCTGTTCCGTCGTCTGCCTACGGTGACGACGTCGACGTTTCGTGAAGTCATCAAAGCATCTCAAGCCAGATAACCTTTCTCCGTTTCTCATTCCATGTCAAATGACGTACCTACCAAATAGAATACGCTGTTCCGTTAGGTTTGCCTTTTCATCTCTTTCTTCACCCTTATCCGGGGGCACCTTGCTGTGCTGTATCGGATGCCTAGCTGAGGGGATAATGGCTTTAAACAGTTATCTTCATCGGATTGCATGTTGAAGTAGCGCTAATTGGAGACGATAATTATCTGTCCCGCGGGAGGGACGAATGAATGGAAGTCAATAATTGAGGTGTAGAAAAACAATACTTTTTTTATTGCTCTCATTCTTCTGCTTCTTGGAATACCATAGAAGAGCCACAGTTACTGGTTGCTATCATTTGATGAATAAAACAATGCTAATTCACACACACGCGTACGTGCAGGCCTATTACAAAGTAGTTAGTGTCATTTTGTGTTGGTTCAACAAGGATACAGTTTTCAGAGTTATCTCTATAGCCACAACAGCTTCTTAACGCTAAAAATGGGTATTACGTAGTATTTAGTTCGCAGCGTTGAAGTAGTCTTTCGACTTTTGTGGGTCTGCGACCATGGTCTTGGAACCGGGCTTCCAGTTGGCCGGGCAGACCTCACCGTGTTCGTCGGTGAACTGGAATGCCTGGACCAGACGGAGGGTCTCATCGACGCTGCGTCCCACGGGCAGATCATTGACGGTCACTTGACGGAGATTCTGTTTGCCATCGATGACGAACAGGCCACGGAATGGGACACCGCTCTCCTCCTGCAAGACTCCGTAGTCACGGGAAATCTTCATCGACTTGTCGGCCAGCAGAGGGATTCGCAGCTCTCCGAGACCTCCCTGCTTGCGGGGAGTGTTGATCCAGGCCAGATGGGTGAAGTGGCTGTCGGTCGAGACTCCGATCACCTCGCAGCCAATCTTCCGGAACTCCTCGACGCGATCCGAGAAGGCGATGATCTCGGTCGGGCAGACAAAGGTGAAGTCCAACGGGTAGAAGAACAGAACCAGGTACTTGCCGGCATAGTCTTCTAGCTTGATTTCCTTGAAGGCACCGTTGACGACGGCGGTTCCCGAGAATTTCGGGGTTGGCTTCTGGAGCTCTGGGACTGGCATGGTGAGCTGTAAGGCAAGGGGAAAGGTAGATTAGTCCAAACATTCTAAACTTGCTGCTTTGGGGACATTCCTTGTTATTTGGAAATTGCTCGAGAAATAGTCACTATTTGATAGAATTCAGCTTAATGAAAGCATGTTTCGTATTTTTTTTTCTAATTTTTCTCAAGAATAAATCAGCAGCTTGCATTAGAATAGCGATTGTATTTAATGAAATTTGGGTAACTTTATAGAAAATTTTCCATTAGAGCCAACTCCTTCCAATTCGATATTGAAGGAATGATCGAGCCACGGAGGTAAATTTATTAAATTTCAACGGGAACAGCGATCTTAACTGACATAGCTAATCCCAAGCCATTAAAACTTCCTCAAAGTACCAAGGCAGCAAAATGCGTGTCGATTCATATTTGACATGGCTGGTTCTCAGCTATGCGATGACCCATCGTTATAATTAAGCCGCCAATCAAAATATATGGCTATCTAATTTTATTTTGAATACATTGAAACCCAATTGGACCTGTAGTTGGCCGGCCGGAACGGAAAACCCGGAAAAGTCCCGAGCAAAATGCGTGTCGATTCATGTTGACATAACTGGTTCTCATCAATTTGGTAACCACATCTTAAGATTGAGCGTAGACAACAAATCAAGAAGACTGGCAACTCTTCCATTTTCTCATACGAACGCTATGAGACAGGTACAATCGCGTCATCTGTCGCTCAAAGGTAAATGCTTTGAACGAATTTGATAGCAAAGATTACATCCTTAGAAGAAAGGTTTGTGTATTTGCTCATTTTTCTATGCGTTGCTTCCACCTTCACTCAAGCGCAGCGCTATTGTATCTGTCGCTTGGATTCTGGTAAAGTTGCCAGTCTTCTTGATATGATGTCTTTGGATTGAGCCACTACTTGAAAGGTATGACTATCTACTTTCAACTGGAACAGACAAGGAACCGATTGAAATTGTGGGTGGCCAATCGGAACGATAAAACCCGTGAAAGTTGGCTCTGTGGAAATTCGGATTCACCGGGAAAATGGTCAATTCCTGAAAGTAAACCTAGAGATCCGCAACTTTTTCTAAATTGCATACAATCAAGAGCATAGAGGAAATGTATCATAATCATATCGATTTTGCAACCAAGTGGCCAGAAAACGGTCCTCTGGATATCCGGAATCACCGAGAAACTAGTCAATTCCAGAAAGTAGACCTAGAGATCCGAGATTTTTTCTAACTTGCATATAATCATTACCATAGAGGAAATACGACAACAACATATCGATTCTGCTACCGAGTGGCCAGAATACGGTCCTCTAGATATCCGGAATCACCGGGAAAATAGTCAATTCTTAAAAGTAGACCTGGAGAACCGTGATTTTTTAGAAAATGTGAAGAACCCTTAGTTAAGAAGATACATCTCAATGCCATATTGATTTGGTCACCTGGTGGTTATTGAACACCCTTCAGGATATCCGGATTCACCGGGAAAATGGTCAATTCATGAAAGTAGGCCTAGTGCTGCGTGATTTTTTTTCTAAATTGCATACGATCATGAGCATAGAGGAAATATACCATCACCATATCGATTTGTGTGGCCAAAAAACGGTCCTCTGGATATCCGGAATCATGATGATTAAAAAGTAGACCTAGAGATCCGCGATTTTTTATAACTTGCATGTAGACCTTGAGATTCGTGATTTTTTAGAAAATATAAAGAACCCTCAGTTGGGAAAAGATAATTCAGTTCCATATTGATTCGATCCCCCGGTGGCCATAAAACGCTCTTCTGGATATCCGGATTCACCGGAAAATTTGTTATTTCCTAAAAGTAGTTCCAGACATCCACGATTTTTTTTTTTCTAAATTGCACCAAATCGATTCTACAACCAAATGGCCAGGAAACGGTCCTCTGGATATCCGGAAACACCAGGAAAATGACAATTCCTAAAAGTAGACCTAGATATCCGTGATTTTTTTTTTTTTCAAATTGCATACACTAATACAATTCCACACAGTTTTATTGTCGAATTTCCATGTGATTTTCATGTGCCCACACATAAACAGAATCTACCCAGAAGTACATATGAAATTTACGAGTCAAATGAACAGTATGTGTGGTTACACATGACTTTTATGTGTACACATACTAAGTATGTATCCGACACATAGATATCATTTGTTGATCAAATTGCAAAAATTCATGTGTGAGACACATAAAAACAATCTTTGAAATTTTATCAGTGTACAAGCATGAGCATAGAGGAAATATGCCATCATTATATCGATTTTGCTGCCGGATGGCCATAAAGTGCTCTTTTGGATATCCGGATTTACCAATTCCTGAAATTGGTCCTAGCGTTCCACGATTTTTTTTCTTAAATTGCATACAATAATGAGCTCAGAGGAAATATGACATCACATCACCATATCTATGCTACTTCCGACTGACCAGAAAACGTCATACGGCTACAACTTTCAAATCTATTTTCCAGGTATGTAATAATTAGGTTTTATCCCAGAAAGATATAGAGTAAATTACGGCTTCGGCAATACCTCAAATAAATTAAGTCCTTGAGCACAAATATTTTTCATGAGGATCCATCATGCTTCAGAGCAGATTGGCAAAAAATTAGCACTAATTAAGATTACAACTCCCCTTTGACGATAATAGGTTAAAGCATTTCTGAAGCCGCCATTTACCCTGATATCACTTGAAAATTTTGTATTATCTTACAAGAGAAGGTCCCCAGAAATCATCTGGACCTTGGCCAATAGATAGAATTTATGGTTATATGAACGAAAATAATAAATCGAATAAGTAGACTCCGAGTTACATCATTTAAAAAAAATGTCGAACTCATTTTAAGTTTATCGCTAGAAGAGTTAACGACACTTCACAGCCTCTTCTCCTCAGTTATATTGTGGATTTCATCATATTTTGCCTCAGGCTTGCAATTGCTCATTACAGCTAAAATGCTATTATTCGGAATTATGAAACTATGAGATACTATAATGATAGTTTTTATTTGTAAGAAGCAAGAATGGGTGGTAAAGTTTCTGTATGACATAGACAATTTGTCAATTTTGCTTTCAGAAGGTCACAACTAGCGAATTTATGATCGCTGATTGCTCGCTCATCGCGTTGCTCATCGTTACAGCTAATCGCTATTGTGACCCTCTGAAAGCTAAATTGACAGGTTTTATGTATTATACAAACAGTTTACCTTCTCTTCTTGCATCTTGTAAACAAGAATTATCATTGAAATATTTCATAGCTTCATAAATCCGAAAAAATAGCATTTTAGCTGTAATGAGCATTTGCAAGCTTGCTTATACCCCGTTCACATTACAGCGTATATCACGTGATATACGCTGTCTTGCAATGAGCACTCATACATCTAGTTTTCACTGGAAATCCTATGTATGAGTGGTTATTGCAAGACAGCCTATATTACGTGATATAGGCTGTAATGTGAACGGGGTATTAAAAGGACTGGAGAAGTTAATTGATTCAAAAAATGTACAGTCATTCTTTTCGTATTTACCGTTAAATGGAAAAACGGAAACTTGACTTCGTCACCGTACACCGGCAGTGTTAGCAGGAAAAGTTATTTATGGCATTTAATTCGAAACATCGCACTTTGAACAGCTATAACTTTTTTTTATGCAATCTAGGACGGAAAATCCTTCGGCAAAGTTGTTAGGCACCTCCTGAAATATACTTGCTAATTGCATGGTTCAAGCACAGACAAACAGACATAACACATTTAATATTTCTCACTGTAAAACATCGTCGCTAAAACATTACCGCCATCTGTTGAATACACTGTGGTGGGCAGTACGCTGAACAGATGGCGGTAGTGTGTAAACGTCAAACGAAAGGTAATTGACTGTGCGCGCCACAGGTGGCGGTACAGCCAACTAAGATACTTTTGAATTGACCGTTAAATGCTTGTTCGATGAACAACTTGCGAGTGCTATGTCTGTTTGTCTGTGGTTCAAGCAAAATTGTTGTCTCTAGGAATGAAAATACAAAAAAGTAGGTTTCCCCATACTTTCTTTGATAATTGGGTTCTTTAATTTTGAAAAATACATTGGTTTTTATATATCATCTGGAAGAGCTTCGTTTTCTGAGCACAGCGATATTTTTTTTCGAACCCACACACTTTCATCTCGATTTTTAAATCAAGATTTAAAGCAAAATAATAACTTCACTGTTTGACACTGAACTGACAAAATGACAGCTCGCTCCCAAACAAAGTGACACTGAGGGGCGCCAATAAGGTGATTTCTGCAAATGTAATAGTTCCAGTGTACCAAAATGGATGAAATTTTGGGTTTGGGTTCCATTTTAAATGCAGATTACGAATATGCATTTACCTCAATACCTTTAAAGAACCAAATTCAAGAATTTTGCGAATCACTGAAATGTTTTGACAGCCTAGCAATGAAAGTGTTGTTGTAGTTGGTCCCAACTTTCACTTTTTCCCGTTTCTTGGTCTCCATTGTAAGGGAACAAGTAGAAACTCCACATAATGGTTGTGGTCCAATGGATTGTTGAGATGCTCCAAACCTAGCTACCATGTCACCTTTCATTCCCTTAAATTCCGCGGTGACCAGGAACCCAGGTTTACTTGGTTTCGACAGGTCAATTTCTTAAGTGCCTTAGATTTTAAAGCATTTAATTTCTGCTCACTCTACACTAAGTTTAAAAACCAATCAGTTTAGTGCTGAAGTTTAGTTGTGAGAATCTGCGAGTCTACACAACATGATTAACGGACTAAGGCTTTGCTGGATTTGTTTTTCAAACATTTCAATCACAACCGCTGAAGCACATGGTTCTGATGTTTTCTTATTCTTACTGCGGAAAAGTGTTGTTTTTGTTCGATAGCCTTTACTGAATAGCCCTATTCTAGGTCAATTACTCCATCCCATTAAAGCATGATTATCGAATCTATTTCATAAACATCTGGTAGCGTGGCCCATTAGCGCTTTAAAGTTACTAATCAACAACAGAAAAAACGTGATTAAAAAATACCAAAAGGCTACCAGTAAAGGTCTAAAACCGGTTTCTGAATTCGAATCATTTGGCCCAACCAACCACTTCCAGACAACTAAACCAGAGCACTCTTGGATTGCATCTTGTTGCGTAATTCAACCGGCCTTCTCGGATGATGACGTTGTCCGTGGTAATGAAATTCAATTGATTCATAGCCTGCTGTGCCACTCGCCCGTTTCCATCCTATATCCACTCCACATGCATTAACTCTTGTATCGCTTCGCGACCAACCGGTGTATTTTAATATTATTCACGTTTAATCATCATGTAGCACGTTCAGTTCAAGTGGGTAAAGGAGGTAAAAAAAAAGTCGATGGGGGCTTTCCCTTTTCATTTTAGCCGGTTTTCCATATGATTTCGCCGGCATTGCGGCATTCAATGAAGAGAGATGATAGTGAACTACATATTTGCGTACCCTTGAACCGTGAGAACTGAGGTTTTAGCGCTCATGAGATTCTTATCACGATCACGATCGACTGCTTTAGAAAAACTCGTTCTCTAGAAAATTCGATAGATCGACAAACGTCGGCAGAGAGTGGGGAAAACAAACTGCAACGATTTAAAAAGGGTGACGTGTAGCAAAGCAACACCAGACCAGGCAAACAAAATGGCAACTACTCGCATCGAATAATAGAAACGAAAAACATGCCATTGTGAGCAAGATAATTACCACTTCCCACTTTTCGTGTGTCGGAATGGATTTATAATATCCATGAACATCCTGTCAAGCATAAGTCAAGTTCGTGCGTTTTAAAATACTCAAACGATAATAATCATCATCTCGTCACGTCCATGTTTTCAACCCAAAAGGCTTACATAAATCAAACTGAACTGTGCACTATACTCTCAGCAACCGATGGTTCAGTTGGCTGTGATGTATTCATGTGTGTTCCACCATGACAGGTATTGTCTGGGAGGTTATTGAAAGCAACACAGCAAGTACAAAAATCAATTGAATTCCTATGGTTTCCATCAGCCCAACACGAGAAAAGTTTCAGCCCCATGAAAAAGAAAAATGCCATGACCTAGCAGAAAATATTAAATCTTACCTGAGCTTCTTCTGCCTCTTGAGCTAAATAGGAAAGTAGCTGAGTTTTGGGTGGTGATTTGGAAAGCCGGCTTCCTTCTCACACACAGACGGTGGCACTATAATAATCTCTGCAGAGAGACGGACAAAAAACACACAATCCACGCGAGATCCAAGTAAGCACTTGTGAACGCTAGCAGATGACGGAAGATACTGACGATAGTCAACCGAAATTCGTGAGCTAAAAGAGACGGCGATCGATGCGCGCGAAGTGGCAGAAGCCGGCGGGGTGGTTGAGTTGAATGGGGTGTGGTGGATGGTGGATAGAAGCGCGTAGAACATAGAGGTACCGTAAGCGCGCGCACAGTAGTGGAAGGCACATGTGGAGCGATGGCGCGGAAAAGGGTTTACACGAACGGCAAACGATTGCTTCGTTCGGCGGCTGGTTGCACAAGCTATTGTACGGTAAAGAAAATCAATGCTTTTGCAATGGGTAATTTACCATACTGGAAGTTTTGTAGCGCATTTAACTTAAACCGTGTGGGTGTCTTCGACGCACTTATTCCTTGGCTCATAAGGAATAAGTGATGTGAATGTGTGATGTGAATGGAACCCACCATCAGTGCAAGGATTACCAATGTATACAGATACGTTTCCGGTTGTAAAGTTCTGCGTGATTGTTTGTTGCAGCAGGGTAAATCAGCTTCATTGAAGGCCTTTGGAAGACAAAATGACCAGATGGAAATCTGTAATCACGTGACAAGGGACTGGCAAATCCACGAACCCTCGTCCAGCCAACAAATCCTTTGATTCCCTTAGGCTACCCCCCTCTACTCCCCATCCCCAATCCATTATATAGTATAATGTTTTAAAATATATCTGCATCCGAATTTTAATTTAAGTAAACCATTCCTATTATTTTAGCTCTATTTCATTGATAAGATTAATTTTTATTGTTTTGTTTGGGTGCTTTAAGATCACGTTTTTTCACGAAATTCGTTTTAGTTTAGAAAAGATTAACAAGGAGGGGTTGACAAGATGGGTTATTTATGTATTATTATCAAAAACGAATTATTTCAATTAATTTACGTGTACCAACTTACTTACCTTTTGATGACGACAACTTATCGTACTTTGTGTGCCTGATAATGACGAACTAATTTTCCTATGTTCCAGTAATTTTACACATCAAGTAACAGTCAATGAAACGTCTTTAACTTCGTTCATAGATACTCATGGTTCATAAGGAATAAGTGCGCAGAAAACACCAAGACGATAACACGTAAAAGCGATTTAGCACTTTTGAGGAGTCCAGTTATAATGCAAAAATACTAAAGCTTCAAACCTTACTAGACCATTCCCATGCCTAAATTATTAAAGACTAGACATCTTTGAACAATTATCCAGAAATGACTGGTTCAAAACTGTAGAACACAGCTTCTGATTGTTTATTGTCGCTATAACAGGCTGGCTACCCAAGCAACCAAAAGTTCGGATAAAAGCCCTTTTTTGGCTTAATCAGCTAATCGAAGGATTATGAAGAGAATTCCATTCAGCTTACTTTTTAAGTTATTAACCGAACTTCCAAGTTCACATTCGATGTTTAAGCTTCTAACAGAATGCTGTTTCACTTTTAAAAAGAACTTGAAAGTTCACAAAAGGTTCGTTTAACCGTTGGAGGGAATGCTATTCAGCCCAAAAAGAAAACTTGAATGAAATTAACAAACCAAAATAGAAAACAAATATATCTATTTTTGCGGCATACCACGTTCTCTTCTTATTTATTATGAGCTGCTGCGTTGTCGTAGATAAATGTTTGAAATATGTTCAAATATTTAATTTGAATTACATGTTTTTAAATTACTTACCGCAAGTCTCGAACTCGAGTCCTCCTCTTTGAAACCGAGATACATACCATTGCTCTATGTGAACGAAGTGGAATTTCATATGATTTTACTCGATGTGTTGATTCATTCATAAAAATGGTTTTCAGGGTAGCCAAATCTACTTTCAAGTTCCGTAAGAACTATTTTTGAACTTCAAAGTCTCTGATTAGTTCATGTCGAACCTTATCTGAACTTGAAAACTGCTAAAAAGTTCATACGGAACTTTTTGTGAACTTGCACCGTTTGACATTTGACAGCTTGTTTTGTTTCCGCAGATCTGAAAACAACCTCGAAAAGTACGAAACAATTTACACAATTTTATGGTATATTTACCTGTTTTGAGACTTGTTTTATTCAGCAAATCATCAAGGTATGGTAGTAGAACGCAAATCTCAATGAAATTTATTAAAATTCAATATATTTTTTACTTACAGAAATGCCATTCGCCGTAGTAGAAACATTGAACGCTCGAAGCTGTAAGGAGCTTTCGGTCGTTCCAGATCAATGGCTGCGGAAATCAAAAAGTGGACACATTTTGTTCTGGCCAAACGCAAACAGTGCCGCAGAACCAGATAAATTGACCCGTGACGAAAAAATCTGCTAGAAATTAATATTTCGAAAGTTGAAAGTCAAGGTTCAAGTCGAACTTCCTTTGAACTTATCTAGAATTTTACGTGTACTTTAAAGTCTGAAAGAAGTTCAACATAGATTAATTGTGAACTTTCGCGTTGCTTAAAAGTACGGTTAGTACTAAGATTGAACTTTATGTTAGAGGTTCGAAACAAGTTCTTTATTCACTTTTTGTGAACTTCACAGTGCAAATGAACGGCAACAAGAAACTTCTGTTGAACTTTCAAGGTTCCAATAAATATTGGCGATACTTTAAAGAGCATTAAGTTCTTTTTGTACGTGTAGTGCCTTGTTAATCGGCAAGAAAGTTCCACGGAACTAAAATTGAACCAGATGTGAACTTTTGAGTTCGTTTCTCAAGTAAAATCCGAACTTTCGGTTGCTTGGGTATAGCCCCAAAAATGTTATCATAATTAGTTATAAAACCAAACAAAAGTTACATGTCAAACATGTTACATAGAAACATGGTAAATCTACGACGAAGCATATAGCGTGTGAGCTGGAAGTCGAAGATAAATGCAATTCTATTGAAGAGTCGCTATAGTTTTAGCATTAAATTGTTACGAAGCGGTCGAGGTTGAACATTCAAATCGATTCGATCCAGGATGGTTCCACAATCCATTCTTCCATGTAAAATATCCATGCGATAGTCAATATGTACTTTGCTAGTATCCCATCTTATCCGTAGAAGGTCAAGATTTATCAGTTGGCAACGCCTCTCGTAGTCAGCGTTGCCAGATCAGTTTCAGGGAAATCTGGTCCAGTTGAAATATTAAATTTAAATCTGGAAAAATCTGGAATACACTGATATAACTAAACAAACAATCGCCTATTGAAGAAACTACTTTTTGACCATTTCGGTGAGAAGCTATTATACTACTTACATGAGTTTTAAAAGAGCTTGTTCGTTAATTTTTTTGATTTTCAGCGTTTATTAGAAGCTCGAGTTTTCCAATTCGTCATTTGGCGTGGAATATAATTATCACAAAATTTCGTAATACTTCCCAACAAACAATTTGAGTTTATCAACAGCTGAATAAGCAATTTTTTAGCTGAAGAAGCTCGTTTTTGCCTGAATAAGCTCTTGTTCAACATTCAATGTTTGTTGGGTTCTCCTAGAATAATCTTAGTAATCTTTTCTTTTCAGTAACATTCTAGGCATTGTCTGCAGAAAACTCTAAGCATTCTCTATATAACATTCTTAAAATATATTCAGACTTCAAAGTTATAACATGTTATAATAATTATCGACAAGAAAAATGATAGATTTATAATGTTGAAACTTTTTGGTCCCGGGAGATGCTCTGCCGTCCCAGACGGGGAACAGCCAAAGCCACTAGCTGCTGGTCTAAAGCCACGGCAGCTGTCTGGGGTGGGCACAAATGACCTCTTTTCCTCCCGGGTTTCAGGGCGTTGGTGAGCAGTTGGGGAGAGTTTTCGGTATGGTATGTCCTTAACAACGAAATATGGGTTAACTTACGGTACAACTTTATTGACTCTAACGGTGGCGTCAAGAGGGCTGAGTTGGTGGTGGTGTGGACGATAACGGTTCGGTAGACGGATTTCGTAGCGCTGGGCTGGGTGGTCGGCAGTGGCGCTCCGTACGGTAGATTCGTCTCGGCTTGTTCGGACCCTCCGTCGTGTGCCCACGACGTCGACGGGGAATACCAATCAGGCACCGATGGTTTGACGGTAATATGAGTTTGCCAGGCGGCCGGGACGGTTTGTCCACCTGCCGATAGCCGTGCCGGGGTTCGTTTGCTTCAATACCTGACCCTTAGTCGTGTGCCAACGACGTCGATGGGTGAATCCTGCTCCCTGTGGTATTGCCGGCCAGCAGCGACGGATTGTCCAACTTCCGGGAACCGGACATGGTTCTCTAGAGGCGACGTACTGGCTCGACCCTCGGTCGTAAGCCAACGACTTCGCAGGGCTACGATGTAGCACGTGGTCTGCTCTGGTTCACCAACGAGCTTTCCGCTATCTCGCACTGTCACCAAAGTTGTTAGTTGGTAGTGCCTTGCGTTTGACGTTACACACTATCGCCATCTGTTGAGCCTCGTGTCTATGACAGTGTACTCAACAGATGGCGGTAGTGTTTGAGTGACGATTTTTCAGTGAGAAATATTCTTTGTGTTATGTCTGTTTGTCTGTGATATAATCGTTCCTCCAAACTGTTCCCAAAAATTCATTTAGTTTTCTACTTTGATATAATTTATAGAATTTACTTGGTTTACCCTCCAGAATCACCTTTATAATTACTTTTCAATTGAGGTCATATGTTGAGGTTCTACTCAAAATTAACTTGGGATTCTTCGTAGAATTTACAATGGGATCTTTTTCCAGTTCCATACTAACCCTTCTTTGAATTACTTTAGAATTCTAATCAGAATTTGCCTGGAGTAATCACTGAATATCCTCCTGAGTATCCCCCTACACTACCCATAAACGCATAACAGTTCCATTCGAATAGGAAATCAAGCAAAGATGTGACTGTTATGTTTTTTGGGCAGTATAGGTCATCGTTTCGCCTTTTCAAGTCTTAGTAGTATAGTCGCTGAGGCACACAACCGAAGTTCGTTAGTAATGGCTAGCGTAGTATTTAACAAGCGAAGCGTTTCGATGCTATACAGACAATACAACCTTAACTTGAATGAAAACAGCGCAAAATAACGACTACAACAGAAACGAATAGCCGATGCTAGCCGGCACGTATCTACTGGTCTTAGAAATAAGCCGGCAAGCGCTTTATCGCAAATTACCTTTCCATTCATTCGCGTTCCAAAGTTGATCACAAACAGACTTACTTCCTTACGCCTCACGACTCGCCTTGCAACAAAGAAAGAGTAATCACCAAGTGAACACATTTCCACTATTGAATTTGACGATCCCTATCGACAATTACAGCTAGAACAATGTCGTCCAAAGTCGCACCGAAGGTCAAGCTGAACAACGGCCTGGAAATGCCAGTTCTGGGCCTGGGGACTTGGTTGGTAAGTAATCGAATTTTATCCCATTTCCGAAGGGAATTTCTTTCCCATGCACTAAGTGGCATCAAGCTTGGCTTCACTTTGCCGCGCACACACTTGTCCAACAAAATCCAAAAATAGTGTTTACAGCTCACACCAGCCTACAGAAGGTGCGTTTAGTAGCGTAATGTGTAAAGTTGTGATTTTCGATTTACACTTGCAGTCCAAGGAAGGCGAAGGAGTTGAAGCAATCAAGGCGGCAATCGACGCCGGCTATCGGCACATTGATACCGCCTATTTTTACCAAAACGAGAAAGAGGTAGGTGAAGCGATCCGCGCCAAGATCGAGGAAGGGGTCGTTCAGCGGGAGGATCTATTCGTTACGACCAAGGTAAGGAGTTTGTTCTATTTTGATTCGAGTCGAATTTTACTTTTACTCACTTTTTAGCTATGGAATACGTATCACCACCCGGACCATGTGGAGCAAGCGTTCCAAAAATCGTTGGAAAATTTGAATGTTGAGTACATTGATCTGTATCTGATGCACCTGCCCATCGGATATAAATTTGTTGATTGGGATACGAAGAACCTAATGCCGTACGATGCCGATGGGAAGTTGCAATTTTCCGATGTTGATTATATCGACACCTGGAAAGCAATGGAGAAGCTGTTGAAAAGCGGAAAGGTCAAGAGCATCGGTGTTTCAAACTTCAATAGCGAGCAGATCACTCGGTTGCTAGCGGAGTGTGAGATCAAACCGGTGACCAATCAGGTCGAGTGCAATCCTAGTCTCAACCAAAGGAAGTTGACCGATTTCTGCAAAAATTTGGACATCACCCTAACCGCCTATAGTCCGTTGGGCCGTCCAAACTACTACGAGAAGGATCCGGATAGCATGCCGAAGCCGGCTTTGGATGATCCGAAGGTAATCAAAATCGGAAAGAAGTACAACAAGACGTCGGGACAGGTTATTCTCAGATATCTGATCGACATTGGAACCATTCCGATTCCCAAATCATCCAACCCGGAACGCATCCAGAATAACATTGATATCTTCGACTTCAAACTGACGGAGGAAGAAATCAAAATCATGGACGGATTCAATACTGGTCAGCGAACGGTTCCGTTCAATCTTTGCACCAGCCACAAATATTTCCCATTCAATGCGGAATTTTAATATGTTTGATTTTGATTACTGAACCGATAATAAAGTAATAAATTTTGACATTTGAGAAAAGTCATTCGAACGCTTGCGCATGTCCGAAACTTCAATTCAGCTACACACTTATCTTATTATTGAAACGACTATCTTCGTAGTGAAATTTTGGTCAGAGGCTTATCAGTGCGTCGCCGGTAGCTTCTAGAATAGGGTGTTTGAAAATATTCGTGGTTTTGCAACAATCATGTCCGCTCGGGTTCTCACGGTGATGTTGAACAATGGCCGAATGATGCCGGCTATCGGCTTGGGTACATCGATGGTATGTATTCTACATATCGCAACGCAATGTTATTATCGCTCTGCTGGGCATATGTGTTGTGTGCCATGTGTGTGTGTTTGTAGTGTTCGTTGGCGTTTCATGTCACGCCTGACTGTCATGGGTGACTACCTATTAATTATTATGCACTCTTTTAATTGTATTATACTTTTCGATTACTTGTATGATTGTCCTATCTACCTAGTCCAAAGGGGACGAATGCGTGGTGGCAGTGAAGGCGGCAATCGATGTGGGATTCCGCCACATTGATACCGCTTACTTCTATCGCAATGAGGAAGCCGTGGGGCAGGCGATACGCGCCAAGATCGAAGAGGGAGTCGTCACGCGCGATGAGCTGTTTGTTACTACTAAGGTAAATGTGACTCTGCTTCAGTTTGTAATCATCTCCTTCATTTTTTTTTATTTGAACTGTGACATATATTATAAAACCTACCGGTGGCTGGGAATGCTCTTGATCGCCATGAGTAAGCGAATTTTAAAGGAGAGCCAATTGTGTCATATACCAAACGAATCAGCTCGGATGTGCGTGTTTTTTTAACAGGTGGTTTAGTTGATTTGGATGTTATCAATTTCATTTTGCACGTTTTAAGCTCTCATAGAAACCAGTTTTTATAGTCGTTGTAGAATTTTACGATGTCCTCTTTCGCTGCATGTAGCGAGTATGTTTCCACTTCTAGCACGCGCCGAAATGGTACCTTTAGTTATGAAAATCATTTGACATATTCTCGGCGATTTGGAAAACAAATTGTTGATATTTTTCTTCAATCTTTATTAAAAAAAAAACAAGAAAAAAATGTTGACAGATATTTTAAGGACTTTCAGCAAAGTCAAATGAAAATGCAGTAGAGATTCAGATTGTCGTTTGCCCGAATTTTACAGATACAGATTTAGAGTTATTGACAAAAGTTGTAGCTTCATACATCATTTTACGGAATTTTGTTATTAACAAAAGTTTTTTTTAATAACAAATGAATGCAAATGATTCTTCATGCCTGAATACCTATATAATGTTAAATGTAATAATAGAACGGTCTCACCGTATGTCTCCTATGTCATCCATTATCCCATCCTGACGATTGCAAACTGCAGGCATTGAAACTCCACAAAACAGGTAACAGAACGATCACGGTACCGGTCCTACTCCATAACATACTCAGAACATCATCTGAATCTCTATCATAAACAAGGTGACCGATTCTTCCACTCCCGTTGGAGACAATACTAAACTTCCAACGGAACTGACAACCGAGAAAAACCGATACACAGCTCCAGCTAGTGGAATTCCATTGAAAATTCACTTGGAAATATTTTTTGTTTGGGAATCAGATCCTGTAGTCACACACTTTTCTAAAAAAACGTTATCGAGTGGCAGCAGACAATTGGAAAAAGTAGAAGGGCCTGTGCCTAAGGGCACGAACGGGAGCTTGACGTAAGACCTCTAGGGCGTGAAGAAAATTTAGTTCTTTTAGTTTGATCGATCATCTATTATCTTAACTCTTTCCGTTTTTGATTAGTAGGCGTACCAAATTTGTATTATTTTTTTTTCAAAGAGAAAGTTGATGAAGAGAATCGATCAAAATCACTTGCACCCCTGCTTCCAAGTTTGGTTACAAGATTACAAACTCTGAAGCTTGGGGCAAGACAGCTTTTGATCATGAGTAAAATCTGAGTTAATTTTGAGTAACTCTGAGTAACTCGCGTTGCTCAACATAAAATACACATAGCAACCGATACTGTCAAGCAAAGCAAAGCAACAACATTTTAAACGGTGCGCTTGCAATGCTTTACTGGGAAGATCTTTCAGCAATCACAGGGCAATTGCACGTGTATGAAAGGAACTACAAGCTGTCCCCTCAAAATCGATGGCAGATTTTTATGGTGACCTTACGGAACAGTCAGAGCTGTCTTGCTTTACTGCCATGCCGATGACGTTTTATTAGGGGGATTTTGTACAATCTCTATGAGGGTTCCAGTCAATCGCAAAGGGGATTTATGACAGTCACAGTAGAGATTCCAAACAAGCCTAGGGGTAATTTCAGACAATTCCAGTTCGGTTTCCCAACAATATCAAAGGTAACTTTGGAAAATCCAAGGAAGAAATATGAACTATCCCAGGGGGGATTCCGGACAATTACAGGAAGAATTTCACTCAATATTGAGGGGGATTCATGACTGTCCAGGGGGGATTCCATATAATCCAGTCAATCCAAAGGTAGATTCTGGACAATCCCAGTATTAAAAAATGGTACGTAATGGTTCCTACATCCTTTCGACGATCGCTCATTGACAAACTTCATATAAGTTTTAGAATAGAATCAGCTATGGAATTGGCCAGAACTAACCTATTTGGACCTGGGATGAACAATTAAATAAAAGACTGCATTCAACAATCCTCCTTTTGTGTTAAATATCGATCAACACAACAACACCAACGATGAAAATTCAACCTGTTCCTGTTCAAACAGGAGTATCAGGGAAAACAACGAACGCTTCTGGAGAGAGTTGACCCTAACTTTTTTTTTTTTTTGTCTTTATTAGAGAGATTTTCAGGGACCCTAACTCTGGCATTTTCTAGCTAAATATTCTCAGAGATTTAAACCCCTCTTCCTTAATGAATGCTGGTAAATAAAATGTTGCTTATCACGAAAGAGTTTCCTCATTTCAGGCATGTAGTGCAACAAAATATGAAACCTCTTTGGCCGATTTTGTGAGATTGATTATTAATTTTCATGAGCTAAATTAATCTCCTGAAAACATTTGGCCAAATTTTTACTTCCTTAGTCTTGAAATTACACCATCTAGTGCTTCCTTCCCGGGTAATTATAAATGGCTGGGATATAGAAACACTAACACCACCACATCACCAAAAACTTCAAAGACATTACACTTTAGCCATCCATCCTAGAAAGCAAAAGAGACCTAAACATCCCTTGGCTTGGATAAGAGCCATCTAACTTGGATCTGTTAATGAATGAAAACTAAATCTTGAAATTAAAACATTCTGTCAGACGCGGATTGTTTGAACATTATTTGATGAAAAATATTAGACTACTTTGTTTGTTTTGAGTAAATATGAGTAACTCAAATTTACTCACTGCAAATATATTAACTCTGAGTACAGTTGTCTTACCCCTAGCTCTGTAGAGCATTTTGTGTGGTCGTTGGGGGCATGTGGTTTTGAATATGGACCAACACGCAGATAAATTGTATTCTAACTTTTTACTGTAAAAAGCTTGTTGGCCCAGGAAAGGGTCGTTTTGTTGCTGAGGTTGGTGATTATTTAACCTCCGAAATTGTACAGAGTTCGTCTGTCGCTTCAAAGCGTAGACGACATCGATGATCGCTTACGCTTGGCGTGTTCAGTATAGGTAACAGCATCACGGATCACATTTTCCAAGAACACCTTAAGCACATCTCGTGTTGTCTCGTAGATCAGATCGGAGACACGGTTGACACGGCCACGGCGAGCCAGACGACTACTTTTGCTGCTTCTGCTGCCTGCTCACCACGGCGTCTGAAGCGAAATGACTTGAGGCTAGTTTAAATGATCTTTATTTTAGTTTAACTTGGACGATTACCATATAAATTTTTTACTAAGTGATTTAATGATTTCTTCATCTTTAGGTATGGGCAAAATTCAAAATTTGTTTTACAGAATTAGTCCTAGACTTAGTACACGGTCGACCACCTTGGTGGGATTGGTTTGTTTTGTTTTTAGAATTTGAAGAGAAACTACTTAATACTACTATTGACAGCTTAAAACTAACCTACTCTACTATATACACTTAACCTACTATGTACAAATTGCTTATTAAAGCATGTTCAGAAAGATTGCATTTTTGGATAAATTTGGTTGTCATATCATCAGTTTTGGAATCTACTTTGGGAATTTCTGCCTCTTGATGGAGGTCTGCTATTCTTGTGTCGAATGGACGATCTAGGATCATCCTCAACACTCTATTCTGTGCAACCTGGATTTTGTTCCTGTGGGTCTGAGCGCACGATTCCCACACCGGGGCGGCATAGAAGATCGCGGGGGCTATGATCTGTTTGTAAACAGCCAGTTTGTTTTGCCTTGAGAGGCGGGATCTGCGGCAAATGAGCGGATACAAACACCTAACCAAGGCGGAGCACTTAACTAGGGTTTTCTCTATGTGCGAGCGGAACAGGAGCTTCTCATCGAACAACATCCCGAGATAAGTAACATCAGTGGACCACTCGACCCTTGTACCATCCATTATTACGGTACAGGAGGGAGACGGTTTAAGTTTTGGTGATTGTCTGTGAAGGAACATGATCGCTTGGGTTTTCGAGGCGTTGATTTTGATTTTCCACGTGGTGGCATAATCAGTAAAGGTGTCAAGGCATCGTTGGAGCTTGTTCGTAATTTCACGAGGCATCCTACCTTTGACGGCTATCGCGGTGTCATCTGCAAACAGAAAGAACACGCAACCGTCTCCTAGAGGAGGGATGTCCGACGTGTAGATGCTGTAAAGCAGTGGTCCCAGCAGACTCCCTTGCGGAACACCTGCTGGGATCGGAAATTGTCCCGAAAGGGAACTATTCAACGACACCCTGAACGACCTTTGCTGGAGGTAGTTACGGGTGATTTTCACAAGGTATGGTGGAAAGTTAGAGTTACAAAGCTTGTATATAAGTCCGCCGTGCCAGACATTGTCAAACGCCTTTTCGACGTCTAACAAAGCCATGGCTGTGGACTTGGATACAGCTTTGTTACTTCGGATGTTATTCATCACCCGCACTAGCTGATGATTGGTGGAATGCCCCTTGTGGAACCCGAACTGTTCCGGAAGAAGAATGTCATGTTCCTCCACAAACTTGTTTAGTCGGCTGACGATCAATTTTTCGAACAGCTTGCTCAGCGCTGAGAGCAGGTTAATCGGTCTGTAGCTTGACGGTAGTGAAGGGTCTTTCCCAGGTTTGCGGATCGGGATGATTTTTGCCACCTTCCAGATGCTTGGAAAGTAGTGCAGCTCCAGGCACCTGTTGAGGATGGCAGCCAGCAGCGAGTGCACCCTCGCGCTGAGATTTGTCAACTCTAGGTTGAATATTCCGTCGAACCCGGGAGCCTTCATGTTTTTACTATATTTCAGCGCTGAGCAAATTTGTTCCTCTGTAATCCGTTCTTCTGGAGGGACGGCACAAGGGGAGGCATCTAACGTCTGGACGCACTGCGCAACCTGGTTCTCGAGTGGACTTGGGATTTTGGAGCCAAGCAAATGCGACTGGGCAATGTGCTCCCCAATCGCATTGGCTTTCTCTTCGTTGGTGATAAGCCGTTCGTCATTGACTCTAAGTGGTGGAATGGGCTTGGGGTGAGACTTCAGCACC